TTTCTAAACATAGTTCTTTGCTATCACTACTCATTACAATCTCACTTCCACTTCCCCTTGACTACACATTCTTTATCTTGTCTTAAGCATCCTCCTGTTTCCAAATTTACAGTCCTCAGAAATTGTCTTGATGATCTTTCTTTGGTTCCACCCGATGTTCTTTCTCCAGTTCTTTCTAACTTGTCCTGTTCACTTCTCCCAGGGTTTGTGGCTGATAAAGAGTCCAGATGCCCGGGCTCTCATCCAGGTCTACTGGCGCAGCTTCTTGTGCAGCATTCCCCTCATCTCCCCCTTCTTTATAAACTAAAAAAAACGTTGTTAATAGACTTAGCAAACAAACGAATTATACAAGCAATTAAACAAGGAAGTTTGATTAAAATACACAGAGATTTTTACACAGGTTAATGCGATTTTAATAATGTTTTTCAATCATGCACTGATGCCCTATTCTGACAGCAAACTTTCTAGCCAATTCCAGCTACTCTCCACTCGCAACTTCTGAACTCCGTCCTTTAGGTTTTGAATTGCATCATGGACGGACTCAGAATGATTAGACAGGCTCATGTAACACATTCTGTCAAAGTCTTTACAACCATGTCCTTGAGCTAATAGCAAAAAATCTATGGCAGCTCTGTTTTGAGGAGTAGCGTGTTTGACTGAATCGTTATCTGATGTTAACAGACCATTGCTGTGGGTGAAAGACCTGCGGGGCAGAGGCTGGGTTTCTTCCCGCCTCTCACCGGGAGCAGTGGACCCCGCACCGCCCCGCAGCGCGCATCTTGGCTGGCGCAGCGCGTATCCGCGTCTGCCGGAGCACACAAAGGCGAGAGGCGGGCGAGTATCAGAGCCCTCTGCCCGCGGACAGACAATGGGGGGAGCCCGCCGGAGCCTGCAGCTGCCGCCGCCGGGCGAGTGAGTGAGGTCGCGGCAGCGGGGAGGTGGAGGTGCGCGCCCGTGCTCCGCAGCTCCTTGTCCCGCCGCTGCCACCAGGCGCAGCCCCACTGCCGGAGGGGAGCCCCCGCCGCAGCCTCCGCTCGGCTCCTGCAGGAGCGCCGTTTTCCTGCCCGCCGTCCAGCCCGCGGTTCGCCTCGTGACGGACGGGATGTGGAGCATTCAGGTTGTGGGGCTGGTTCACAGCACTTTGATTTTCCGCTTCTTTTTTAATGTTTTTCCACATATCATGCCGGTCAGGGGGGTAGAGGTGGGCTTCTCTGTCAGGGTCGATTAGTCCGGGATCAAAAGGGTCATCTTTGCCTGGCTCATTTGCTGTTGCAGCCTGTCGGCGGATATCCCACAGATCGATAAGCGCGGGAGGCTGTGTGAGCACCGGCAAAGCTTATGTCTCATGACAGCCAATGCCAGGATCAGGCGGGAATAGATCTGGCTCAGTTTCTGGGTCTCCTGGCCCCTGGTCGAGAGGATCCGGACTGTTCTCATAGACTGAGTGCCATATGGCCAGCAAGTTGGGTGCTGCTGCATCATCTCTTGTGGCTGCGTCCCAAAGGTAGACCCCAGTCTTGTCCCATACTCCCTTCTAATAAATATTAGTTGATGTTGCCTCTGTGGCATGGGCCGAGGCCCATATTAATAAGTCTTTCAGTTTATCTACATTTACAGTAACCCCCTTCTTTGCTAGGAATTTTACTAGTACTCTGTAGACCGATTTGTGCTCGGGGGATGCTGAGTTTCCCATGTTCCCGTTCCCAGGCGCTTACCTCAGTCAGAGGTATTGGTTATTTGCTGCAGCCTTTCGGAGTTCGACAGGGCTCCTCACCGGTAGCCGAGTCACGGCTCTGTCTTGTCCCTGTTTGGGCACCATTTGTGAGGATGGAGGCACGGACCCAGAGGTAGAGTGCAAGCTGGATCGTTTATTGAAAAGATTACACGATATTTATATGCTTCCAAGCAATTAGCCAAGCACATCTGTGTTTGCCTTGCGGTTACATCAGGTGAAAGGTCTATCTGATTTTCTTATCGACATCCTCTTTCCAGTTCCAACATCCTTGTTCCTTGCCAGTTCCAACATCTTCCAAGTACCAGTCAGGGACAGGTCACTCTTAATTGCCTACTATAGTTCCTCCTTCCCATGGTCACTCTTAATTACCAGCTTTGATACATTCCAACTCCCACACTCTTTTTTGCCCCATGGATCTCCATTTTTTTTTTCACAAAGCCATGATCACAGTAATTAGTGCAGCTGTAGTCCTGAAGCTGGATATTTTTGATGCTCTCAGTCTCATTAAGGAAAAACTTCAGGCAACCCTTCCCCCAGTCTGTAGGCAAAGTCTAACCTGTCTTTGTATCAAGACAGTTTTCTACTTCCTAGCCAGAGAATCCTCTTTACAAACCCATGTGTTTAGAAACATTAAATGGGTTTGTACTGACAGAGCCCTGTAAAGAGATTTTATTGAAGAAACAATAGGACCCAAATTATACTAAGAGTTGGTTTGGCAAGCTGTCACAGGAAGCCCCTCATGATACCAAACAGATACTACTTGTCTGGAAAAAAATATTAAATCAAGAGAACTGTAATGCTATGACTTCTTGAGCATGCATGCTGTTACTTTGTTGACACATATCCGGTCATACAGCGTGGTTCATCGCGGTTCATCATTAACCAGGATGCCTCTGACACTTCTGGTGTCCTGATTAGTATTCTCAAGATCATAGCCCTGGTGATAAATCTTTTGTTTATTCATGCCTATACCATCCTTAGATGTATGTCCTGGGTTCAAAATACGATTTGCCTTATCACTATTATTATTGGTGGCAGCAGCAGTGGTTTGTGTTATACCTTAGTTACTGAACTGCTCTTATCTCAACCCGCGGAAGTTACATTCTTTTGATTCTCCTCCTCGTCCCTCTGGGAGATGGGGCAGGAAGAAGGAGGGAAGTGAGTGAGCCACTGTGTGGTTCTGAGTTACTGGCTGGGCTTAAACCATGACAATGCAACACCCCTTCTCAAGCACTGGCAGCAGCATTTACCAGGTCTGAATGAAACAGGCTCAGAAAGAGCCCAAGTCTTTCTCCCAAGTCCCAAATGGATTGAGAAGTCCCTTGGCCACCTATTCCTTTATCTCCTGCTGCTGAGCTCACTGAAAACATGGCCTTACCAGCCATTTCTGCTTGTGTCTCTGCATGGACCTGAAAAATAAGTGCATAGACATTTTTATTAGTGAACCTGGTATCAAGAAGTACTAAGTGCATGGACTATATTGTTCAATTTAACCACTCATTGAGCAGAGATTACATTTTCTAGAAAAGGTACAGGTAGAAGCATGTGGTTAGTCTGCATATGAAGTAGCAGAAAATGTTAGCTGTTTCCACTCCTTGCTTCTAGGACATAGCAATTTAGAAAAAGCATACTGAAGCTGAAAACCTTAGTGTAAAAAGCCTGGGGCTTTGTGCCTTCTTTTTAGCTTTGCTATAGGCAGAATTTTAGAGGTATTGCTAAGGGCTATTGGCCACATAAGTATGTAGAGAGAGAGAAAGCAAAAAAGTGAGAAGAAGTGCAGTTAACCATGTACCTTTCCCCAGCAGGAAAATTTTTGGGGTCAATTTCTGAAGCAAAAGCTAAATTCTAAAAGTAGTCTAGTTATTCTTAAGTGACACAGTACAGTGAGTGGCCTTCCCAGAAACATATATCTTTGCTAATTCAGTCAAAATCTACACAGAAAGGAGCTTCACTACTGATTAGTAACTCTAAATATTTTTTTTTGTTTGTTTTTAGACTTTCTGCCATTTTCAACTTTATGTTTTCTTATTTTCTGCTTGTGGTTTTAGTCTGAGAAATCAGTCCTGTGAAAGGGTTCTTAATTGACAATAGTAGTGATATAATGAAAGGCACCATTTGTCACATCTCTTGGCACATACTTGTGGCTTCCCTTGACGTATTTTCCCAGAGAGTAGATGGGCTGCTCATGCTGCAAACAATGGGTCCCTTTAATACTGTCAAGAAGCAGAACAACTGCTTGCTGCTGCTTGAAGTCATGCCCGAGCCTGAGCAGTACATCAGACTGTGAGTTGCTTGTGTGCAGGGTCTTGCAGCAGTAGTGTGGTCACAGCTGGCAATGGGTTTGTGGGGTGAGCTATTAAAACCTAGATGACTCTGTGATATTCCCCCATTCTGTTTTCTCCCCAAAACTATAGGTTGCCCTGATAGTGGATTCTAAATGTAATTGCTTTTCATGATACTAGATGAAGTATTGTTAGGTGGCAAAGTAACTGAAAGAAAAAAGACTGTCAGAGACAATCTTTGCACCGCATTGTTTACATCAGTGCTGGAAAAAAAGCCATGTGAGCTGAGAAGGGGTAAGTGGAGATCAAAGCTGTGCATGAAAGCTTCTTGAAATCAATGAACAGGACTCCATTGACCCTAGTGAACTTCAGATCAGATCTGAAGAGCCATCACATAACCAGTTCGCTAGTGTGCATTCTCTTTCTTAAAGAAACCAAACCCATGATATTTTACAATTCTTCTCCATGCTTCCCGTATAGTTTTTTTCTTTGTTCTCTTGCTTATAGATTTTTCTCAATGTGTCCAAAAGAATACAGATTTCATCACAAGATTTTGTCAGTTGGTAAAAATAACAGACACCAAAAGGGGAAATATTTGTTTCATCTTCTAATTAAGTGCATGGTGTAACAGAAATACAGAGTTATCTTGGGAGTACATTACAGGTACAGGAGACTATAGATTCCCTGTGTCTTCACTGTGCATTATCTAGTGTCTGTGCTGCTTAGCTACAAAACCTCTCTTCTTAGCTGGAAGGTATCATACCAGAATTAGGTATGAGTGCAAAACTAGGGTACCAATAAGAAATGTGCTTGCTGGAGGTGCTGACAGTAAACTACATCAAATTCTCTTTCTATCTGGGGTAGCAGAAATGAACAGAAACAGTAAGACCAACCTGTGTGTCAGACAGAACTTTCCATAAATTTTGGGCCCCTCACTACAAGAAAGACCTTGAGGTGCTTTGGAACGTGTCCAAAGAAGGGCAATAAAACTGGTGAAGCGTCTGGAGAACAAGAATTATGAGGAGCAGCTGAGGGAACTGGGGTTGTTTAGCCTGGAGAAAAGGAGGCTCAGTAGAGACCTTATTGCTCTCTACAGTTACCTGAAAGGAGGATGTAGTGAGGTGGGTTGGTCTCTTCTCCTAAGTAACAAGCAATAGGACAAGAGGAATTGGCTTCAAGTTGCACCAGGGGAGGTTTAGATTGGACAGTAGGAAAAATTTCTTCTTTGAAAGGATTATCAAGCACTGGAACAGGCTGCCCAGGGAAGTGGTAGAGTCCTCATCCCTAGAGGTATTTAAGAGATGTGTAGATGTGGTCCTTAGGGACATGGTTTAATGCTGGACTTCGCAATGTTAGGTTAATATTTGGACTTGATGATCTTAAAGGTCTTTTCCAACCTAAACTATTCTATGATTCTGTAATGAAATTTTGAAGAGTTTTAAAAGAAATCTGATTTACCCACTGGGAAGCCAATGCAAAGAGTGATGATATGACTGGTCCTGATTCCAGTCAATGATGACTCAGTGGATCAGAGATTATAAATCAGATCTTCCCAGTTGCAGGGAGAAGCCTTTGGGCCACTCTGCAGTGAAAATGAAACAATAGCAATCATGTAGTGATGGAGAAATTATTTTTGGATGTCTCAGGATTGCTTATATGTAATGTGCATGTGTATGTGTATGTTTGTGTGTATGTGTGTGTGTGTACTTGTATATGTAAGCTATCACCTAGGAGTAACACTGAACAAATAATCTTCAGACATATATTTCTGATTATTACCATTCTTGGATACACATAAGTGTCTCTTATGTGAGCTGCACTGCTGTGCTCCTAAAAGGTCCTGGGCCACATCCCACTGAAGTCAGTAAGGCTTTTTGGAATTGACTATGCTGATCTGAAGTATTTAATTAAACACATGAGATAGATACAGTCTGAAAAATCATAGGGAAAGCACATTCCATTTTCCCTTTACAACCAGAGGGTCTTGGTATTTCCTATACAGAAGCTTCTAAAAGGCACTGCATGTAAAGGCACACAAGGTATCTTTCCTTTTCCTGAAGAGCTGAATATGGAAAAGTTAGCAGTAATCAATGGGTTAATGAATCATAAACCAGTTCTTGTCACCTCCACTAACAGAACAAATGAAGATTAAGTTCCTTTGGAGAATCATGATTTTCATTAAATTTATGAACTCCAGAACGGATAAATTCTAATCTCTCATGTCTCTACATTATCCCTATCATGGTTTAAACCCAGTCAGGCAACTCGTTCACTCACTTCCCCCCCTTCTTGCCCTCCCCCTACTCCCGGAGGGACGGAGAGGAGAATCGAAAAGAATGCAACTCCCACGGGTTGAGATAAGAACAGTTTAGTAACTAAGGTATAACACAGATCACTACTGCTACCACCAATAATAATAATGATAAAGGAAATAACAAGGGAAGAGAATACAACACCTCAGCACCAGCCAACCGATAACTCAGCCCCCCAGCCCAACCAAGCTGTGACCGATACCTCCTCCAACCCCGCAGCCTCCCAGCCCTTCCGGCTAACTCCCAGTTACATCCTGGGCATGACGTGCTGTGGTATGGAATACCTCTTTGGTCAGTTTGGGTCAGGTGTCCTGTCTCTGCTTCCTCCTGGCTTCCCCTCCTCCCTGGCAGAGCATGAGGCTCACAAAGTCCTTGGCCAAACCAAAACATCGTTATCAGCTCTGTTCCCAGGCTGAAAGTCAAAACACAGCACTGCACCAGCTACCAAGAAGGAGAAACATGACTGCTACTGCTGAACCCAGGACAATCCCAAAGCTTCTTGATGGGATAGAGCTCTTACAGTCAGGCAATGAAGTGATTACATTAGGTAAATTGGGAAAAGGACAATGGTCTGCACACCAGCTACAGCAGGGCTCTTGTGGACTGGATTATCCTCTGCATGCACAAAATGGATCAGTAGCAGGCAAATTAAATAATGGGCTGCCAGAGGAGTTAATAACTGTAACTCCCAAATCAGAAGCACCGTCCTCTAAAGGAGCAGCCTGGTGCGTTTGTTAGTTACTTGACTTCTTTCCAAAATGCTCAGCAGAGACAGTATCACCACACAGTCAAAAGAAGGACAAAAGGGTGAGATGGGACATGAGAGTAGCTCACTTTGGCAGGTGTATTTTTCTGATGGGGGGAAAAGTCATGAAAAAAAATTAACTGTAAACCTCTGGACTTTCAGAACTGAATCCAGGCATTGCTGTCTGCGGGTCTTCACCCTGCACCTACTAAAAACTGTTATGCAGAGCCTGTCTCAAGGTAGGGCTAGTTGAAGGTTGTTTGTAAAGCTTCCTTGGAAACACAGGACAAAGGACATGTAACTGAAGAGAAACAAATTCATTGTTTTGCTGATCTGGATGAAATGTGAGCTAATTACTCATAGCAAACTTCTCATTCACTATAATCAATTTCTATAAAACTGACTCCTGAAGCCCTGGGACTTTTTTCTTCTTTCTGCCTTATTTTTACCTCAACAGAAATAAAGGACCATTTTACTTGCTTTTAGTGTGTATCCATTTAAGCACTTTAATAGCTCTATCCTGCTTCCATTGAAGCCAGTACAATATTTCATTTATAAGCTAAAACTCTTGGACTGATAGTCATAACTGTCCTTTTCTTGGGCATTGTCGTTTTTGCATGACCTTGACACACACACAAAAAAATCTACCCTGTTAGGGATCTCACTCAAAATCCTTTGGAGTAGCTTAGCTCAGTTAGTCCACACACAAAGCTCAGCTAAGCTTGAGTCACTAAAGAAGCAATGACCACAGACAAGGGACAGGATGGAGTTGCAGAAACTACTCTGCTAATGCAAAGGGAAATAGCTTTTCAATCACTGTTGCCCTAAAGACTTGGAAATGGAAAGATACTTTCTACTCCAGAGCCCTAGATACGGTTTTTTTTGGTCCTCAAATGACTAAATCACCTCATCTGAATGAAAAAAATCCATTAAAAAGCACCTGGAGAAAACAGCATTAAGCTGGGCAGAAAGGGTAATAGCAGCAAACAACATTGTGCAACACTGCAACATGCCACATTTGGGATATTAAGCCCCAAACATGCTGTAAGGCTTATCTTGGAAAGAGCAATACAGTGAAGTAGTGTGTCTGTTATTAGCAGGGATATGAGAGTCTTTCTGTTCCTCTTATAATTGCACAGATTTTGAAACAGCAAAATAATGTGAATTTGCTTTGGCATTGCAGATTCAGAAAGAAAACCATTCTGTATCAAATAAGGCTTCCTGCAACGCCTTGGATTTTCTCTAGCAGTGCCTCATTTAATCACTGCCCCAAGCCAACTACAATTGCTTCAAGAGGGAAATGCCTGCTGGATCAAAACAGTGGTCCACCTAATCCTGTGTCTTGTCTCTAACAGTGACTGGCAGCTTCAGGGAAAAGAGAGGAGAAACTCTTCAATTGTCAGTTATAGGAATACTTCCCCAGGGACCTGATAAGATCACAGCCATAGGTCATATGACTGTGGGTGATGTGAAAATAAATACAATTAAAAAAACATCAGGATTATCAAGGTAAATGGAAGAACCTTTACTTAGAGTGAGAGAGAGGATGGAGGAAGAAAGAGTAGTACTGGACAAACACATGGGGAGATATGTGTTACTAGAGGGCATATTAATAATGTGAATACTCACTTTAGCATTGTTATCAGGACAACAGATGGTAAACCATCAGCAGAACATGAAGGAATCAAACAACCTTCACAGCTCAGTTGAGGCTGTGTCTGTAATTGTTGGCTTTTACCATGTAGTGGAAATTAACAACACCAAAACATACTGGTATGCATTTTCATTCTCCCCTTTATCATTTGTGTATATTCTTATACTTAATAATTAAATACTTATATTTAATAATTTTCCTACTTAAAAAAATAGTAATTTCTTATGTTAATGAAATTTCTTATATTTAATAATTGTTAATAATTCTTAGAAATAGTTTCTAAGTATATTTAATAATGAATTTCTCATATTGAATAATTAATTTCACTTACATGAGTATCATTACCTAGACTAGATGGAAAGATCAAGGTACTGCATTAAACTGGAATTACTGGAGAGGAGCATCCAAAAACCAGACACGAGACCATTTTTGTAGATTTACAATAGATGTTGGTGAGATCAGAAAATGTCTGAATTTTGTTTGCATTGCTCTTGAGCATCTGTGACTGGCATTGGTTGAAGACTGAAGACAATCTTTCTTTCTGTGTGTAGCACATGTATCACAGCACAGTGTGGATCAGATCATAGAATCATAGAACTCTTAGGGTTGGAAAGGAGCTTAAGATCATCTAGTTCTAACACCTCTACCACAAGCAGGGACAGCTCACACTAAAGCATGTCACCCAAGGCTCTGTCCAACCTGGCCTTGAACAGTGCCAGGGATGGAGCATTCACAACTTCCTTGGGCAACCTGTTCCAGTGCCTCACCACCCTAACAGGAAAGAATTTCTTCCTTATATCCAATCTAAACTTCCCCTGTTTAAGTTTTAACCTGTTACTCCTTGTCCTATCACTACAGTCCCTAATGAAGAGTCCCTCTCCATCATCCCTATAGGCCCCCTTCAGATACTGGAAGGCTGCTATGAGGTCTCCATGCAGCCTTCTCTTCTCCAGGCTCAACAGCCCCAACTTTCTCAGCCTGTCTTCATACGGGAGGTTCTCCAGGCCCTGATCATCCTCGTGGCCCTTCTCTGGACTTGTTCCAACAGTTCCATGTCCTTTTTATGTTGAGGACACCAGAACTGCACACAATACTCCAGGTGAGGTCTCTGGAGAGCAGAGTAGAGGGGCAGGATCACCTCCTTCGACCTGCTGGTCACATTCCTTTTGATGCAGCCCAGATACAGTTGGCTTTCTGGGCTGTGAGTGCACACTGAAGCTGGCTCATGTTCATTTTCTCATTAACCAACACCCCCAAGTCCTTCTCCGTAGGGCTGCTCTGAATCTCTTCTCTGCCCAACCTGTAGCTATGTCTGCGATTGCCCTGACCCAGGTGTAGGACCTTGCACTTGGCATGGTTAAACCTAATAAGGTTGGCATCAGCCCACCTCACGAGTGTGTCAAGGTCCCT